TGGTAGTCTGGAAAACTAATAATAGAAACTATTATCTTGTAAAGTGACAGTAGAACTACATTGCAAGTACGCAATCTACAGAATACAATAGCAATGTTTCAGCTGACAAACTTAGTTCTCTTATTATTTATAAATGTGGACCATTAATTGCGCATTTTGCTCTATGAATCAAACCTTCATGAGGTTTATTTACACCATTTCGTTAAAATGATGAGGGACTGGTAGTTGAATTTTTCCACAGTGATATGAGTAGACCTTACGTTTCCATTGAATTTAAAATAACCCATTGTTTCCCTAAAGGTATTTTCCTCCAGAGTAGACTGCAGTTTCAGCCAATATTACTTTAAGTAGATCTGATTATATCATTTTGTAAAGATTTAGCTACCATTAATTCATTAATCTAACGAAATATGGTGGATACTTCTAATCTATCTGACCTACTTGCAGTCTCGAAAATCTACATACAAACAAAAAATAAGTTATGTAGTCTATTGCTATAGAAAATACAACTTTGCTTTATCAAAAATCTCATCATATAATGCGATAAGAGAAAATGTCTGGCTTTCATTGAAATTCACATCTGTCTTGTAACTCAAGGGCACTAATGGGACTGTGGCGTAGTTGTTAACTTGTTGAGATTATTCACTGCTATTTCATGGTTCGAGTCTCACTGGGGGTGCTGAGGAGACCTAGGCAAGGTCGAAACTGCTGTCAACTCTGGATAAGAATACATTTTGGGCGGAAAGTCTTTGTGAACTAATGAAAGCGTAAAACCTATTCATGTAATTGTGGGAAAATACAACTACCAGTTATAACAAACACTGAAAACTTTGAAGCAAGCAATTAACCTGGGTCAACTCACGGCCTTAATCGTGGATATAGTTTCATTACTATCCTGTTGGGCAGGTTTATAATTTATACACTACTAGTCAAGGAAATGAATATTAGGTACAGGAGCCCATTGGCACTATACCTGCCATTATTACTTAGTGTTAATCCTTGTAGCTCGAGCGAACGGCAAGCTATTCCGTGCTTAAAACTGCCCAACTAATGGTATGGTTGTCGCCGATAACATTCGCCTCTTCATTATTATTGGAAACATGCAAATCAAATTGGCCAGCCTGACCAATGCAGCGACGGCACTACTGGAATCCCTTTTAAGCCTTGTTAGTTGAGCGGCACAATTATAATCAGCATGGATTTCGCATCATAAATAGCGACAATATTAGTCACTCGGCAAGCATTCATAGGATCTTGAACAGCCTAGGCTCAGCAATACTAGGATCTTCAGGTCAAGGCCCTTAAACACCTTACGACTCTTAGCCAGTCTACATCCCTTGCGGTACCTCTCACCCTCTTGGCGACAGGAAATTAAATCAGCATTGAAAAATATATCTGGTCTTGGGTTTTATTTCCACAAATAAGTTGCAACGCAATATTTATGATTAGGAAATCAAACTTTATTTTTGGAATTTCAGATCCACTTTAAAGGGTAAACTCAAGGGTCCTTTTAGCATAGTAAGAGTAAGAGTCACAATCTTTAAGCCACAAGTAAAACTTAAACATGAAAAGGAAGGCATTCGAAAGTTAACTCGTGAATGCAAACTTCACATGTCTGGCAAATTAGACAAATGACGTCTGACATATTAGCCCACATCTATCTATACAAATCAGTTGCACCATAATACTTATGGCTATTATATTTACTTTTATTTACGGCCAAACAATATTGTTATGTTCATCCACTGTCAAGATAGTTTTACCTTGAATTTGATTACATCGTTGTAGCGATTTCCATTTCGTGCTAAAATGCATGATGAAGAGATTTGTAGACCGATCTCACCACATGATGTCGGCCGATTCTGGTTGTACTGCAGCCGTTTAGCTTTTATACGACGTTTAGGTTAACGCAGTCTACGAGATTCAGGAGATCCATCGAAGCCCGATTTTTATTTCTATTACATTGTGCAGATTAAGAACTATTTTGAACTCGCTCCTATTTGGCCTAGGCATGAACACATAGAGCTTTGCAATATCTTTTTATTGGTTAACTACATAGGGATGAAAATAACTTCTTTACCTTTCACATTGGTAAGTAAAGGTTGTGTTACTCACGCCTTTGGACCAAGAGTGCATTGTCGTATATCCTGTTTCTTGGGACAACCTCATATCTGCACCCTTATAAAACTTATTTCCAACTTAACATCACCATTATCTATCATTTTTATTGTTGCAGGCAATTATTATCGAATTCCGGCTTTTCCTCCTCATGCAAATCCAATCAAATAAGGAGAACATTTGGTATATTCTTAATTAAGTGGTAGTGAGCGTAATTCTGGCTCTGGCCAGCTTATGCTGCCATCTGCAAAGATATTGCTGTTTCGATAATGAAGAAGCAAATGAAATTACGACATAATTAGTATAATGTGCGTATTTTTATGCTTATGTGTCTGTCCTTATGATGTAGCATATATATTCCATCGAATATGCCAGGCCTGCTCGTCTTACTTTTCTCTCTACATTCTACTTATTTTTGATTTTTTTGCTTCTTTTTTGTTTACACTAATTTATTATAATTTTTACTCAATTTTAAAGCTTCTTACGCTCGAATATATACTAACTTATATCACTTCTTCCTTCTGATCTACAGGTCTGGGCTTCGGGCTTATCTATCTTCCTGCTATCGCCACTGTCGGCCATTGGTTCCAGCAGCGTCGCCCTATAGCCGTTGGCATCGCATTATGTGGAAGCGGTGCCGGCAGTCTTTTGGCTGGGCAAGCTGTCCCTCGCCTTCTCTCTTGGACCACCTGGCGTGGGTCTCTTATTATTATGGCTGCTATCACCTTCAAGTGCCTGGTAGGCTTCAACATTCTTACTATTTTGAATAAGTATGCTTTGAAGCTATAAATAAATCTTAATTATGAACTCAGCAATTCTAGGTCGCATAAGGTGAATTATGGATAGATTTTTGAGTTTTTTGCTGCACTGATATTGGTAGGCCTCACGATATCATCGATTTTCACTTAAACTTGCCTCCAGGATTTGACGACAGTTTCAGCCTTGCATCATTGTTCTCAAGCGGGATTCAAAGCTGGGTCGTGCACATTTGGGCGATACGTTACAACTACGTTAAATAGCCATGGGTTCCAGTGTATAATTTGGCAGATTTTGCTTCAAGGCAAGCGCTTCCAGTTCTAAATTTACTCTTGAGGCTATTTTGTTTGCCGCTACTATTTTAACAATAGGGTTATTTTTCTCGTTTAAATAGGGGATTCCATAGCATTCCATAGGCATATTATAATATCAGCATTAGGATTGTATGCCAAGCGATGCGTTCTTTTGGTCCAGTTTTCCACCCTCCAATTCCGTGTCTATTAGAATATATCTTTCGAAAACGAGCTGCCTGAAAAATAGAGTGCATGCGATCCATATTCCGCTCTATCGCTATTTCCTATATTTTGTATTATTATTTGGGATGGTTTTCTGGATAGATACCTAGTCTCATGGTTTTTATTCTGTTTAGGGTAGACTTTAATCACTATAGGTATTTCATTAGACGCAAAGGTGGAAATGGTCTACGGCAGTCTGAAATGAAAAATATTTCTTAGATGAGATTTGTTAAAAATTGGCAAATTATGAACCATGTCATCCTGAATGGTATTAAAACTATACGTATTTGCATCATTCTGAATTGACTGCGCTGATTCTTGCCACGCTCAAGACAGGCCAAAATTTGCGCAAATGCAGCTACCCGATGATACTTTACTCGTTTTATTTTTGGTCTTAACTTCGGATCCTTTAATCAACTAATTGACAAGTCTCATGGTTTATACTTCTCTATAGTAGTTCATTATGCTTTTGTCCACTAGAAGATTGACTTTATCTTCCATATGACGCTATTGAGATATGCTTTGTCTACTCCGTCTACTAAAGGCCAAAAGTTTTCTAAAGATTCTCTAAGCAGTCACCTTGTCCAATGGAAAATATATGAAAATATTGAAGATATGAAGACCAAGATTGCGTGACCTCCGGTATGGTCGCAGTCTCCTTTCGATTTATAGAAGTGGGTTGATCTCGTTGTCGCAACTTGGTCTTGTTGTCCGGGAGACTTAGTAGAACGCACCTGGTTCGAAGTCCTCTGCCATAGTAGTTATCATAATTCCCAGCATCAGACAGTGGACTTGGTACATTCTCGAACGTTTCACCGGCATCCTAGTCAGTATCATCAGTGAGTGCTGCTATTCTTCGCATCAAGCCACAAACTATCACACTAAATTTGCCAAAAAAGGGCACACATTTTGACGAGTGGAATGTAGACAAGTCAGAAGTTGTGATAGAGCGGGAGTTTAATAAGAGGGTAAAGAGTAGATAGATGGGCCAGGACAGAAGAGGAGTGATAGTGTAACCGTTTTCGGCACAACGTAGATGGAATGATTGACTTCACTTGTCTCTGACGAGTTCGTAGCTTGATGCGGAAAATAGCAGCACTCACTGATGATTTCGACTACGATGCCGGCTAGACATTTGAGAATGTACCAAGTACGCTGTCTGATGCTGGGAATTATTATAACTACTATGGCAGAGGACTTCGAATTATGACGTTCTACTAGGTCTCCCGGACAACAAGACGAAGTTGCGACAGCGAGATCAACTCATTTCTATATGGAAATATTGCTTACTATAACCAAAGCCATGTGGGATACCTTGCACATGCATGTGTTGTAAAATCTTGGTTGAAAAAAAACACTCGTCTCAAACTAAGGAAACTTTAAAGTGTGTTTTTTTATTTAGAATAATAGTCGCGTATAATCACAGTGCGAATTATTTAATTAATAATAGAAATAGGCATCATTGTACTCCAAAATTTGGACTGATATCATTGCATCGAATCTTTCTCCTAAAAGGATAATTTTTTATACCAAGTTTGACAATTAAGTTGTTTTTGAATTCACTTCCATAACTAGCGAAAGTTTATTAATGTACCATTCTTCATTGCACTGATGGTGAGTCTAAAAGTCGCAGCCGCACATCCAGCTAATAGTGCCTGGCTAATTTGTAATTTTATAATTTAAATATCTAACTCGATATTTATTTTGTTTGTTTTCTTAAATATTTATTATTTGTATTTTTTGTTTTTCTTCCAGTTAGTCATCATCTTTTTTAGGCCACTTGGGCTCCACTTGCGTCTTCAAGCTATAGCCGCTTTTAAGCTTCACCAGCAGCAACAAAGACAATACCAACAAGCCCAGCTGAAATATTATCGGTTTCAATCACATTCCCCTGCCCATCGACAGCCGACTCAAATGAATCGTTGTAGGCCGATCATTGCTATCCGAAGGCCTACTGGAGACGCCCCGACCCTTGTGTCTACCGGCCAGCCATCGCTCAGACGACAGACAACAGCTGCTTTGGCATCAGAAGCCCAGTCCCAAGCTATCGCCACTGCAGCCGCCAGACTCGCCGCCGCCGCAATTTATCGACAGGCAATGCTAGCCAATGCTGCTGCAAATGCCTCTGCATCCAACCAAATCGGAACAATTCCAACAAGGAGGTCTGAATCAAGTTCCATAACTGCTGATACTAATATTACTGCCATTGCTGGCCCACAAGGAGCACAGACCCGTATGCAGACTGCGGAATTGCCTATTGCTGCTACGGCAGCAGCCACATTAGCTACGATGCAGCTGCGGCTAGCCATTGAACAGCAGTTGCATCAGCTCACGGATCAGACACAGCAGGCAGCCTTTCTTCTCATTCTCCAACAATTGGCCACTAGTCAATTGAAGCAACAGCAACAACTATCTCGTCAGCAGCGCCACCATTTAATTCACAACCAAAAGCATTTATCTGCAGGAAAAAGCACTCAATCGGATTCGCAGGTTAGCAGGTTTAAAAACTATTTCCATTTTACTTAATTAATTTATCTTCGCCTTACCTTTGTGTATTTTATTTTCACTTAGCCAGCTGGGCCCATTCCTAAGAGCTTCGTGGCTAGAATGGCTCAGGGTAGTGATTATTTCTAAGGATACATGAATTATCTAGTATAAAAATACGAGGATAATGGTAGTTTTAGTTAAAAAGACTTACTAAATAAGTTTATTCGAAAAAACAAAGAGAAAGTCTACTTAAAGGAAATAAACTGGCCCATCTTATACCACCAGACAGCAGTATAAATGCTTAGCTGATTGATCACTCACCTAAACTGTGTAAAATATCCAAATATCACTTGTCTTCTGTTCTCTATTACTCGATGTTACGACCTATGATTGCCAAAATTTATGCTGGCTATGCTTCGTATGTCCCCTCTGCTCTGTCGAGTTCAAAAGTGAAGTAAATTTCGAACCCTACATGTGGCTTCACATGCGACTCATTCGCATAGATTTTGCCTAAATAAGTTATCATAAAAGTATTACATTCGCTGAAATGATGGCCGCTGTCAGCAACTGGGGAGCTACTTGTTACAGATCAATGGCACCTAACCTCAAACTGGTCCTCATTAAGGCCAAATATTGTTCTTCCTGGGCGATTGACCACAGATCCAAGCAACTTCCATGCAACGAAAGGAGACTGCAACTATGCAAAAGGCAACACCATCTTGGTTTTCATACTTTTGATTAAATATTACTTTATTTTTCACTGATTTGCTTGTCCTTTTTCTTTTCGTATTTATTTTTTTTAGTCTGGTCATTCTGCAACTGAAGGCCCTTGTTGCTCTCT